CTAAACCCTAACACAGGATCTGATGGCGCTGAAGTGTCAAAAAAATTGAACTCTAGAACCAAGTAATAAATTTAAAAAAATAAAAACCACAAAACTTTCCTGATATTTATCAAAAAAAAAAAACTAATGAATAATTATGATGGCAATTTGTACCAATAAAACTGTATATCAATACACAGATTTATCAACCCATTGTTTAACCACTAAATATATTTGTATTAAAAGTAAGAAATGCAGAAAAAAAAAAACAATGCAAATTACAAATTAAACTTATGTAATACCTTCATTTTTTAGCTCTTTTAAAAAATAAATATGTTTACCATAAAAATAAAAAAAGATAAATAATGTATTAAAATTTTACACTTTTTTCTACTGTTTAGTCAACTTTTATTCATTTATTTGTTTGTGGTTTTTTTGCTTTCATTTCAAGACCATTTGAGTGGTAATTCAAAGCTGAATTGAACAGTTTAATTCAACAAATTAGAGAAAAATTTAGTCTTTCAGTGTCCAGCAATAACTTTAACCGCAATCGCACATGGGAAATTGCTGATGATATGTTAAAAAAACTAAAAATTGAACAAACTGATGATGCGACAATATGGTGTTAACTGCAAAATTTAAAGAACGACCGGTTTAAATAGTATCTTCAAACAGCTTGTTGAAATTTGTGAAAACGGTTGTTGTTGAAAAAAAAAAAAGATACCATACTACAGAAAAGTAACAAAGTAAACAGTCAGCTTCAATGAATAATAGTGAGAGAAAAGAAAACTCTTTCGTCGTTCTCTGTTTTACTTGAAAATCAACATGCCTCGTTTATAAGGCTGATAACGCTACAGTTTTGACAAAGTATGCAAAATCTCTACTTATTATTACACATTAGGCAAGCAGATCCAAAAGCTATAGGAATTGCTATTACAAAATTACACTCCAAATCTCCTAGAATTCGCACACTGATTATCCTTCCGACATGGTGCTTAAAATGAATGTTAAAAAAAACCTACGATGAATGTTAAAAAACAACAAAAAATGTTTATTCAATAAATCACAACAATTCTGATGTTTTTTTGAAAAAGTGTAACCTGCAAGAGATGATACTATAAACAGTAAAGCCAATATCAACGGTTATGAGCTTCTTCCACTGTATCTGCCCTCCTAACATTCAGTTACGAGATGCTAAACGAATGTAACGGCCAGTCATAATTAACTTCCATGTAAATCGACTGAAAGAAGACCAACCCCGATATCAGTAAGAAAGTGCAAAAACCTTTAACACTTGGGTCATCGACAAACAGCTTGATGAAAACCAGTGGTTATCCACCTAACTGCCTCTGCCATATATTTCAAACTACTAACAATCATAAAACAAAGACTTTCTTTCTTCCTTCATCGTAATACCGTTGTTCCCATGACAACAAAATGCGGCATGGCACTGTTGCAGTAACCTACTTCTTGCTAGCAGCACCAGTTAGGACACTCTGTAAGAACAAAAGCAAATAAGTCTTCCCAATGCTGCTCCGCTCTCCACTACCACAATATCATGATCAAATTTTGTTTCTGACTTTTACTGCAAATTACTGCTTAATCAGAAAGCGATGAATCAAATGAGATACATACTGCTAAACAGAAGATTAAGTCAAGTCAATTTCATGAATGACATTTAACTAATGACTACAAGCGGCACACGATGCCTCCAAGAGGACATCATTATAAAAGGTTAAAAACATCACCACTGTTTGATCAACTGCCTCTTTAACACGTCAAGGGTATTCACGATACAAATGTCCTTGATCCGTACTGATTCCCTACTTTTATATGAGTAATTTTTAATAAAACTTAATACATAGATAGTTGAAAAAGCAGTAACAAATTTTTTGAATGCAAAAGTAACTTTCTTCAACGAGTACAAATCGATTTTCAGCGAAATTATGACATTAAAAAGCGAATGGAGACCATAAATCATTTGTTAGTTCCATACCCGAAATTCGTCGCGGAACTGCTAAACAGCTACTTGTTTTTAAAACAGCTAAGGCTCTATTGTTCAGTAAAGCACCTTATCAATGAGGTACAATAACAGGATTCCTTTAAGAGATCATATAAAACTATTTAATTACTGTGAAAAAAGATCATGAGAGAATGAGTTTGTCAATGTTCTGGGAGGTTAACTTAGGCCCATTTGAAATAGTTACAGCGAGCATTTTTATCACCAGGAAATCCTTGAGGCCTAGCACAAACGAAGAACCTGGAAGTTTTTTGTTCATATAAAGGTTAAAAACGCAATGAGCAAAAATAAAGATTATGAAACTGGAAAAATTTCTATAAGAAGAACTACAGAAGAACTACTTATTCAGGGGGAATACTTAGGCAATGACCTTCTATTGAAGTTTGGGCCCTTCTTTTTCACAACTCGCTCGACCGCTGATTCCCCATGCATACACTTTGGTGTAGACTTCACAAAATTTGTCACAGCTCCCGATTGCAAAATAAACTTTGAAAAACTTTCTGCTTTGACCGTAAGTTGTTCGTCCACAGTTGATGCGCTAGGTTGCGACTGTCCTTCATTAACACTTGTTCCACTCAGAATTGAAAAATCAACTTTGTCCGCATCCTTAAAAATATTACAGTTATGAACTTTATGCTCAAAAAACAGAACATAATGGAAATTTACTAAAGAAACTAATGTGTGAAAAGCAAGATCATGGAATAACTTTTTACACAAAGTATAGTTGAAAAAACCTTTTTGGTACAGAAACTGTTTATTAAACTCTGCTTCCCAGTAGTTTTTTTCTTCTTAATCGTTCTGCTTTGCGAAGAAATTCCTGATGAATTAGGCGAGAAAAAGCTATCGATTAGTTTCTGAGTGCCACAAAACTTTAGAAAGAACTTTGTACATAAAGGAGACAAGTCATCAGCTAAACCAAAATACTTCATTCAAAACTTCACTATTCTATGAGCAAAAAAACGACTTTTTTCAATAGATATGAAACGGTTTCTAATTAATGACCCGATTCCAGAATCCATTCGTTTTTGAACTCCAAAACCAACGGACAGTGATCAGAACCGTAATAGTCTGTCAAGTGTCGACAATCTAGAAATACTTCCAAGTCTTCCACTAACTCTTTATTTGCTATAAAATAATCGATTCGCGTGCCATAGTTCGTAGCACGAGCCCCAGTCTGAAACCGATAAATTGTCCGCAAAGGTTGGCTATAAGAAAAACATAAGAAAAGTAATTGTTATGTCATGATGTGGTTCAACTTTTTATAGATTCAATAATTGAGGTTCCAGTTACAAAATTGAAACATTAGTGGCACCATTTGACACCAGGTTTTTATTTAGAAATAGTATTTTAACGAGATGTGCAGCTGAAGTAACTCAAAAACAAAAACCTTTTGATTCCAAACTGTGTACGCTTTTTCCTTAGCCGGATAAAAGTATCTAAAACAGTCAACATAGCCTTTTGAAAGAATTCTGGAGAGCCACAATCTGTGCGGTTGAAAATCAAAGTCTGGCATCGTATCCGCTTCACAGTGATCAATTCTTTTATGTGCTATATTGAAATCACCCGCGAAAATAACATGATACCCTCGTTCTCGATACCAATCGGCTCGTGCTTCTAGTAAAGCATGGTGCCTATAAATCATTTTTCATAGTTATAGATACGCAAAATTCACTGTAGCTTCCGGAAAATTAATTCAACATAGACTACAATAAGGATAAAAAATAAAATCTACTTGAACTGCTTATCAATAAAATTTCAAAAAAATAAGATATGAAAACTTCATTGCTGAATAGAATTACAGACTGTTTAAAATAGGTGAAAAAGTAAGCAACTGTGTGTTTCAACTCAACTCACTATTAATGATCCACAATATTACTTAAAAATGAATAAATACAAAACTTCAATATTCAATGAATAATCTGTTTCCAACCAGTAAATATTCCTTGGTTTAAAAGCAAAAAGCATAAAGTAACCACAGCAGACAAAGTCCGCTTTAAAGATGAAAGTAACTTTGAAATAGCAACCTCATCTTGTACTCAAATCTCATAGGGTTCTCCGGTACGTAGTTCACGCAGTAGACATTAATAACCGCCAATTTATGCCGTATTTTGTCACCTTAATCACATTCTTTGCACCCATTTAAAAGGCAGGTAAAAGACGATGCTCACTAACCCACCTCTCCTCGCATCATCGAAAAAGACAGTACGCAACTTTTTCCCGAGAACATTTTTAAACCGTCTATAACTTAACTTCAAAAGTGCCAAAAGGTTTCCAATTCATAACAGCGAAAAAGAAACATTTTACTTGAACTTGCATCAGCAGAGATCCCCGTAGTTTCAGAACGACCGCTGAGTTTTTTTAGATAAAACTCTGTAATAACCGCTCGACCTTCACCGTCTACATCAGTATCTCCAAGCGGCATTTCCGACCCCTGTAATAAAGTTTACAAGGAGAAATCAAGCGTTTTCGGCTGCAAAAATGAAATGATTTTCAGAAGTATATTGGAGATGAAAAAAAAAAGAAGCAACCGAAGCTGATAAATGATCATAAACTTCGTATGGCTTGCAAGTATCCCTGCAGAAAGTAGCTACACCAGAGTAACCTAGAAACGAAAAATGTAATTTTTGCCAATTTAGACCATTATTCACAAAGTATTACAAACCTTTTTTACCGGAAGTGCAAAATGAAAAATAAGAATTGTAGCCGTCAATCAAAGCAACATCAACGGTTATAGCTTCACGGGGTAACTTAGCTTCCTGGATGCAAAAAACGTCAACATCCACATCCCCCAAGAACTTCTTTATCTTCCCGCCGGAAAATCGGCGAATACCATTGATATTCCAGGAAGCTATTTTCATGCCAAGTCGCTCTAGCAACGAGCACTACCAAGATCGTTCCAAAATTTGTACAAAGCCACAACTCGATAAGGCTAAAAACCAACCAGAAACTTGAGCCAAACTTAATCCCTGACCGACAACATTACGTAAAAATAGATAAACAATTGAAGTAACTTATGCATTCCACATAAAAAGTCATAATAAATGCAAAAACATGCTTCACGTCCTACTTCTTCCCCACCACCATGCTGAAAAACTATGAAAAGACCAAGTTTATTCGTACCAGAAACACTGCAAACAAAAATGAATGTCCGCCATGAAGAACTGAGCCGCCAGAGAAGATAAATACGTCACAACTGAGGACAACAGAAGATAATTAACTCTCTATAAGACCACTCGTAACCACCCATGATTAAGCAAAAAGAACAGATAATGGCTTTACTTCACAATATAATCCACCTTCTTACTATTACATACAAGCGTGAGGAAAATTAGTGAAGAATTCAGAAGCAATACCGACTACATAGGCAAATTAGAATTAACAGTGCCCAATTAATAAAGAAGAAGTCTAAATTTTAAGTGACCATAACGTTTAAGAAGAAACAAGATGTCAAGCGAATCATTATTATGCTAAACAGCTTCTGTAAAAATTTAAAGGCACAATGTATAGGAGGAAATAAAAAAGTACCCATATGGAAACCACTAAAGTGTTACCGAGACTCAAGTGCAAAACAAGTGAAAAAAAACAAAAGACAAATTTACGCTCCTCGCAACAAAAAAAAAAAAACTGGTGTCAAAACAGCTGAGCAATAGTGACATCAAACCAAGCCCGTTCAAGGCACTTAAAAACATCGTGTTTCCTTTGAGGACTACGGAGTACAGAAAAGTAATCATAAAAGACTGCGAATCAGATGGAACTAAGATATCGTCAAAGTGGTCCTTCAGTAATTGTATACCCTACTACAAACATATCGTAAACGAAATAATTGTGATGGCAAGGTTCTATATAAAAAGGAGGGTCTAAAAGGAGTAAGACTGACTAACAAAAAAACTTTAGAGTTGACTTAAGACGATCCAAGTACTAAGATTTATGTATATATATTACTATCTCTCCAAAGGTAAATTGTCGCGGGAAGAGATATGAGAAGATTAGATACCATAAATAGAATCACGGTTTGCGTATCTTATTAAACACCCGAACACCGCAACGATAGGTGGCATAAAGTGCAAGACCAATAAAAGCTGCTTTGAAACCAAATCTGATTGCCACTGCAGCCTTTGACGGTTTCGGCACGCTGAAACAAGCAGCAGAGGTAATTTTAAAAAATACGGATGCATTTTAGCTGAAAAACATAGCTATCCCGTATGAAAGCGTCAGTCCTCTCATCTGATTAAGCCTTTACCTTTAAGCCTAGTTAATTAAGAAAGTTTAACCTTCATATATTAAGTCGTAAAAAGTCTACTTAAAAAAATGAAGCGATCACAAAGTTTAACTATATAGAAGAAAAAATTTGAGTATTGAAAGAACATGTGAATTAACAGCGTTCTTGGAAGAAGTCAAATTTGAAGCATCCTATTCACTCGACTGCGGTTATCTACTGACAAATAAACGATACACTGATATAAAGAATCATGGTTCACATTTCTGACACGTCCTTAAGAATTTAAAAAAAGATTGGCGACTGAGTCGCTTACATTTAGAGGTTTAAGCTTCGACCTTTCAAGAAATCCCCACTTCTAATCGCATCTAAACATAAAAACCGCAAACATTCTGCTACTCAAAGGATTGTTTCAGTTCTTATTTTGCATAAACCTTTCAACTTCCCTTGCCAAGGGTTTCGCTCTTCCCAGCTGTAGTTCAGAGTAAAATCTAGGACAATTCTCTTTTTTCAATCATGCGAGCACACATACCACCAAAGAACCAAATATTCTTTAGAATCCACAAAAAAAAATAAAGTTTATAACAGCTATGCTACAAAAAATATTTGTTACATAAAAGACTAAAAGATGGCAGCATTTTGAAGACACAGGTTACGAAGAAAAGAATGAAGAGGACTTGCAAACCTACTTCTCCGACTAAAACTTATGGGTTTTGAATGTAACATTTAAAAATTTGTTTCCCCTGTAATATGTTAAAGAAATTTAGTACACCTAGAATTGAAGTTTCTAATGCATACAAAACTTGTGTCATATCCGCTAAAAAGCATTAATTCCTTAATTTTTTTTGACAACATGGCTGTAAGTAAAAAGCAAGCCTCCTCAGAACACTACTGTCAAGAAAGATGTCGCAACCGAAATTGTCAAGCAACCTTTAGTGAGCAAACATAGTGCTTTAGTAGCCCAGCACGACACTGACCTCGTCTCAGATTAGTACGCAGAGTATCACAACTGTTCGAGCTTACTCCAACGCTAATGCAAATCGCGTGTCAAGCAAAAAAAATTGAAAAAAAGTGAAGAAAATTCTTCAATAGTTACATACGTTAAAAGTTCGACTGTAGAAATCCGTTTGTCCCAGTTAGAGACAATGCCAGGTACGTGCCCAATGCCAACCACAGCAACAACACTGACCGGCTGATACTTCACTAAACAGATTTACGGTAAACACTTATTAAATCTTATTCAAATCCCCATTCTAATATGTGGTCTGAGTTTTAAACAGTAAAACAAAATCTCATTTTAATTTTTCAAGAAGGAATTAGACAAAAAACAGTACCATTTGCTTCTTTACAAGCATCTAGCTTATCAATAGTAGTTGACCTCAAGATAGTATGAAGTGTGTTAACCATATAAAGATCTCTTTCTTCCACGAGAATTTTCGAAAGTGCTGGGAATTCTCCAGCAATCTCTTTCAAAAACCCTTCAAGCATATCACTATCTTTACATCGTTCAACTTCTTCAAGACTAAAAATTTTAACTTAACAAATTAAATGCAAATCAAAATATACAAACTTTGAAGACCCGTAAACTTCAAAGGAAAACTAATTTAATGATGACCACTAACGTTACTGGTGTTTTATGGGAGATAAGTAGGTCATAGAAAAAACGAATTTTCTGAAAAATGTTCAGTGAACCAAGAGCCCTTTGCAAAGTAATTTGAATAGGTCTGTCTCCCAGTACCACTCTGCACTGCTGAACTTTCATCGCACCGCTGAAACCATAAAGCATTGTACACAAAACTTGTGGTAATCCAAATGACTAAACTCTTACTCGTATGCTGCTCGAAATTCACCTCCAGGAGCCATCCCCAACTCTCGAGTCACATGTGCAGACATCGATAAAAGCAATACATGTAAAATACCTTGAACAATTCCGCTCTGTAAACTTGGCTCTCATTTAAACTACAGCAGTCCAAATGAATGCAGAAATGAATGTGAAACCAAGCGACCACAAAGGACATTACTTGTTTAATAAGACTTATTATTTTTTCAAAAGTCAAATTTTTAGATTCTCGCAGTAAAGTTTCTTCATCCATTGAAAGCATCGTTATTCGTGATGGACAAAGCTCCACCATTACAAGGTCGGGCTGTGTATTCTGAATTGTTTTTTGAACATCTTTTTGACTTTCAGGGGAGAAGTGAGCAGTTCCAATCAAGTAAACCTGAAAAGTTCATGAAGTTTCTGGTGCTAACAGTAAAAAAAGATGAAAATTAAACGAAAAAGTGTAATAGACTTGATTTTAACTCTTCTCAAGCTAAATTAATAACGGAAAGGTGCAAAAAGAAGTATAATATAATTGTCAATTTACATGGGCGGATTCAAGAGCATCAAGGATGTCACGTTGTGCCTTCGTATCAGTTGGCGATTTCCTTGCAAAAGGATAATTTAATTTTGTCACTAAAAACCAAAGACCCATTTATTTCACCAAGCCACGGAGAACGTGTATTAAGTGTACAATGAACAACAAAAACTAACGTGCTTCTACAAAGAAAGAAGACATTTGTGGAGCAGAAAAAAGCTATTAAACCTGTGCTAGGAAGTTTTGGATTTTCCGGACGATGGCGGTTGAAAACAAATCCACGAGAGACTGTACCCTTAAAAAAGAAAATTGAGTACTTTCCAGAAGATAAAATTTAAAAAGCTAACTTGAACACAAAATTGAAGCAAACAAATCCTGTTTAAAATGATTAATTTTGCAAATCTATCATCTGCCAGAAGCATATACCTCAAGTAAATACGCAACTAAGGAAGCAATAAATGAAAGAATAATAGTTTTCAATTTGTCTATGGCGAATGTGGGTCAGACTATGTACTCCCATAAAAAAAATACAAATTCTTCTCCGTGCCTCCTTCCATTACATGTACAACGTAATGAATGGTAAAAAGACATAAAACATTAAGCTGTTCAATCCATAGTACAACACAGTGTTCTGAACTTCTTCCCGTGTTTGTCATCAGGACTTTAAACTCACCAATGTCAAACCCAAAAACTGAAGCATAAAAA